CTGTCCCTCCACCCTCCCAAGCATGATGTCCTTCTCCAAGGACCAGTCTCTCCTCACAACATGTCCAAAGCATGTTAGACCATTCCACAGATACATATTTAATTAATGAAAATTTAATGAAGCAAAAATATAAAATCGTGAAAATATCTCACTTTCTGATGACTAGGTACAAACCAAACTGCTCTAATGCTTTAACTGCCTGGTGGTAGAAACATCTGGGAAGGGCCTGTTCAGTTGGTTAAATGGGTTACCGTTTCAAATCACCCATGTTTAGCCCTAGCTGATTGCATGAGAGAATGAATACATTAGCCAGGCAGTAATCAATCGCATTTTCTCGTACACAATGGTAGCCACGTGAGCTGCAAGACCGTTCAGACAGAAGGTTATTTTCCACAATGTGGATCCTAATAGCTAAGCAAAGAGAAAAGCAGGGCTCTGCACAGAGAGGACAAAACCAAGCACAGTCACACAGACCATTCAGAGAAAAATGTGAAATAAATAGTAAGTTTTCTCATGGGAGGTTGCCCTGAGGACTAGCTGTGTCTCAAGAGATTCTGTGACATCTTTTGATCATTCCCTCTTCTTTAAGAAAAACCATGTAGAAAGAATAAGAGAGAGATGAGCTGCTTCAATAGGTAACTATTTCTTATAGTCAAACATAGCTACAGCCTCCTGGTTTCTTGGTTCATGGTTGTCAGTCTCTCCACTTTGTGCTATCTCGTGGCCTCCTGGACTCTACCCTTGTTAATGCCCCTTACTCTTAAGATACTCTATTGCTGATTCCTGCATACATTAAATACTCTCGTTCCCAGCTGCCAAGCATACCCTGTAATTCTGTAAATCCCATACCCTGTAAATCCCTTCTCAATTTTTCAGATCAGCCAGAAACCTACTGCCATTACCTTGAAGTTTATCCTAGAACAAGCAGAATTTCATTCCAAGTGAATCCTAAAAGCTTTTTACCTGAAAACAAAGTGGTCCTTGTTGCTTTAGAAAGGGTGGAGGAATCGAGGCAGAAAAGAATCAAGCTATTATGAAAGATAGTCACCTTCTTCCACATCTCATCCCTCTTGCTGTTGAAGTCCCCTGTCCCTGGAATGTCCACCAGCACAACTCCTTCTGGAATTAGCTCAGATTTAGGAAGAGTCACTTCCACGTATTTGATCAATGGCCAAATCTGTGTGCCAGCTGATTCCAGATTGCACTCTCTCCTCTGAGCCCGGATATAGGGGTCCAGCTTGATAGACAATTCTTCTGCCTGAGAAAGAAGGACAAAGTCACCTACACCAGCCACTCCCATGGATGCTGTACCGTGTGACTTGCTGTGATGTAAGTTTGTTATAGATACATAGAGTACACATAGAGACCACGGGCATCAGGTGACCTGTAACCTAGTCTTCAGAGACTAGACTTTGAGAGGTAGAGAAGACCTCAGGTATCAAGAAGTTCCTTTATCTTATGGATGAAGGCATCAAAATCAGTTGACGTGGGCTTCAGGAAATTACATAAACCAAAGCAAGCCTACAGCCACTGAGTTAATTCTGAGTTATAGTGATCCAACAGAACAGGGTAGAATGGTCCTCTGTGATTTCCAAGGCTGTAATCTTTATAAAAACAGAATGTCACATCCTTCTCCCACACCAGTCTTTCACTTAGTAGCCCAATATTTAACCACTCTGTCACCAGGTTGCTTCAATGTTATGTATACCAAATATTTCAAACCATCACCATTAGGTAGATTCCAGCTCATGGTGGCCCTAAATTGATTTCTAAATTGAAGCTCTCGGTCTTTATGAGAGAAGCCTGCCCATCTGCCATGAAGCCACTGGTGAATTTGAACCATTGACCTTTAGAATAACAGCCCAGCATATAACATACTACATCAACAAAGCTCCTTAAGAAGTTCTATAGAATAACAACAAAATCAAAAGATCGGTATTAGTACTCAACAGCAAAGAGTTTGAGGGTTGGGGTTTTTTTAGATCCTTAATAAAACATGTCATTTGTTAAAAAAAAAAAAGTTCTATAGAGGATTGTTGTTGTTGTTCATTGTCATCAAGCTGGAACCGACTCACAGCTGGCCCTCCAGTAGGTTTACGGAAGCTGTAAATCATAGGACAGGTGATTGCTCGTCTTTGTCCCTTGGAGCACTAGGGAGCCGAGTCACTGGCCTTTGTATTGGCAGCTCAGCTCCCTGCTCATTTAACCACCAGAGCTCTCCAAAGAGAGGAATGTAATGTGATATTCTAGGGATCTCTGGTGACCTGGTGGTAAGGAGGTGTGCTGACAACCCAAAGGCACGCAGTTCAAATCCACCAGCTGCTCCACAGGAGAAAGATGGGAAGTCTCCACCTCTGCCCTGAAAATCTGCTGGAGTGTCAGCTATGAGTCAGTTCTGACTCAACAGCATCTAACAACAATATTATAAATTCTATTTCTGATGTAAAATTAACATAATTAATACTAATCTTTCTTAATTTTACCTAGAATGAGGAGTCTTCTCGCATGTCTATTGTGTCTAATGTGAACATTTTAATTACCAGAAGGTCAGTGGACACCACAACTCCCTAGGGACTAGGCCACCAGAGCTCCCTAATACTATTTATAAAAGTAAGAAGAGGCTTATTCTACTAGTTATCTATCCAACATCTACTCTGTCCTTCATTCACCCTGGTAGAACACTGATTTTGTTTGTTTGGGAAGGCACTGTTTTGTTATTGGTCTAAGCCAATCATAACAAGTCTCTTTCTTGACCTTTCTGGACTTGATTTCAGCTAGAAATATCCATGTTACTCAATTTTGAACAACAAGACCTACACAAAGTTTGTCAAGAATATTTTTAGGAACACTATTACTTCCCAATGACAGAGATGTGGTGGTTATTGTTGCTGGTGCTAAGTGTTATTGAGTTGACTATGATTCATAGAGATGCTATGAACAACAGCTCTTATGAACAACACCTTGCCCTATCCTGAGCCAACATCACTGTTTCCAACAACCTGACCCCATTTCCATAGTCATTGTGTCGTTTCATCTCATCTAGAGTCTTCCTCTCCTGCTGAACACCACCCTTACAAGCATTATATCCTTCTCCAAGGACTGGTCCTTTCTGGCAACATACCCAAAGTATGTGAGACGGAGCTTCACCATCCTTATCTCCAAGGAGTAACTGGGTTTCACACTTTCCAGGACAAACTTGTTTGTTCTCTTGGCAGTCCACGGAATGTTTAATACTTTTCTTTCACACTACAACTCAAAGGCACTAATTCTTCTGTCATCCTTAGTCATTGTGCAGATGCGGCTGGTACCTCTTTTTATCCTCTTTTCCTTTCTCTGACACTAGCTGTGAGCCTAGCATTTCAATAGCAATCTCTGGCTGTGAGGTGACAAGAAAGATGGAAGGCTTGGAGGAAGCAGAGAAATACTGATCTATGCATTAATGAGCTATTGAATCAACTCAAGTACTCAACTGTATCCAGACTTGGTTATGAGAAAAAGAATAAACTCTTATTTGTCTGAATCAGTTAAAGTTGATTCTTTTTAATAATCTCTATATATTGCTAGTTAATCCTCAAGTAAATGTAAACAGACTTTTAGAGAACAAAAGCTCTCCTATTAAAACATTTAAAGCTCCCATTCATAAATAACAAAAGATAAATTAAATATGGCTACATCTGATTTTGTTAACTTACTTCCAAAAACATTGCATGTACCTTGAGCAAGTCTCCTAAATGAATTAAATGATTATACTTGAAGTGTACAATACAATAAATAAAATAACTTTAAAGATACCTCTTCTGCCTTGAGAGTGATGATTCTAGAGGTGGGAATCTTTCTTCTAGGCTTGGCCCTTAGTAACTCCTCATAGTTCTTACTTTCAGCTCCATTTCCATAGAGCATTTGGAGCTTCCAGATGGCTTCGTCCACTGCGTCATCCCTGTCCCATGCATCCTCTTCCTTGTCCAACTCCTCTGTCCTATGGAGGAGTGTAGTCAAGTTCCTCAGCTCCTCCTTCCACTCCTGTCAAGACAGAGCATGGCCAGGCCCATCATGACACTTGTGCAAAGAAGAATGACAAAAGAAGGAGGTCTTTGTTTCAAGAGGACCGATTCTATTTTTCCAGCCTCCTTGCCTGGAAAGTATTTCTGTCATCTCCAAACATCTTCTTCATTTGATGATTTATAATTCCTAGCAGTCTGTGGAGGGCAGTGTGGCTGCATATCCAGAAAATGTGCAGCTCCCTAGGACCCAAGAGATCACATCAACCAACCCCTTGCCATGTGATGAAAAAATAAGACCAAAGAGTGACACAACTTGCCCAGACTCTACGACCCAGATATAATGGGACCTCAGCTATAACCCTCATCTTATCCATTATAATTATAATGAACATAATATTGATACCCAAGAGAACTAGAAGAAAAGGAAGGAAGGGAAGAAGGAAATCATTACCTGATCAGAAAGAAAGTGTATTTTGGCCTCATACTTGTCACAGCTGCCCGAGCTCACTTGCACAAGGCATGAAGTGCACGTACTTTCTCCAGACACAGGTAAAAACATCGCTTGCTGGATGATGGCATTAATTAGAGAGCTCTTCCCAGCCCCGGTGCTTCCAAATAATCCAATGTAGACTGGATCCAATGATGGCTTTTCAATTAAGGCCAGAAGTCTGTTTCTGAATCGATTTTAAAATACACATTGTCCTTATCAACAAAGCAAACTGGAATGAGCACCAGAAGAGAATATAAAGGAACTGTCCTGTCCTGGGCAAGTTACTACTTCATTCTCAGTCTTGACACTGCCCTTGCTAAAGGGCTCTGTTAATCCCTGCCACTGCACACCATTGCCCTAGGGGCCAAACAAGACACCATAAAAATGTTTGGTAATGGTAATTTTATACAAATGCGTACAAATGTCTATAGGGGCATAATTTTTTTTTTCATGTTCCAGAGAAATTACACTTGACACTGGAAAGCTACAGTTTGCATTTTACTAAGAAATAAAATGCATAAAAAGAAAAAGTCACATATGAAACAACACAGACTTTAGTTGGAAGGAGAATGTGTGGCAGGGTCCACTCTGCTCCAGTCCTTTAGGACAGGTGAGCATGAACAAGCTGAGGACACTGGCCCAGAGCCACCCCACAGTCCAAGTTGAATCCTGGCCCTACTACACATTAACACGGTCACTTTGGTCAATGTCTTGTCCTCTCCAAGGCTCAATTTCACAAAATGGGGGTGATAATACGAGTTCTCTAGTGGTGTAGTTCTCTAGAGCGTGAAACCAAGTTTCTCCTTGGATACTAGGATTCTGAAGCTCCATTTCACATACTTTGGGTATGTGGCCAGGAGGGACCAATCCTTGGAGAAGGACATTATGCTCGAAAGGGTAGAGGGACAGCACAAGAGAGGAAGACCCTGAATGAGATGAATTGATACAGTAATTAGGACAATGAGGATAGGTGTGTTGGAGTCAGTAAGACTGGGTCAGGACAGGGCTTCAGAGCTGTTGTATATAGGGTTGCTATGAGTCACAGGTGACTCAACAGCACATAACAACAATAACAACTAGTGGTATGTAGACGTTGTGCTATAACCTCTCTCTGGCAGTGTAAATCCACCAATAGCTCCACCGGAGAAAAGTGGCAATGTCCCCCTATACAATTTCTAGAAACCCAATGGAAGGCAGCTATGAATCAGATTCTGACCCAATGGCAATGACTTGGACTTTTGACTTTGGCTTTATAGAACCTAAACTAGTTCCACCAAGTTAATTGCAACTCACAGAAAACCAGTTGTCAGGAGCAAATTATTAGCAGCAACCAGTGACCTTCTTCATAAAAATTTTGAAAATCAAATAACATTTCATATATGTAACAATTTTACCAGGTTACTGGACAAGGGCAGACATTCAGTGGACAGTAACTATCAGTAATAACCACTGCCCGTAGCTTAAAAAATCTTCTGCTTTTCTGTTCAGTTTCTAATTTAAAATCCCCCTTTATTGTCAAGAAAAGCGCATTACCTATAATCACTTAAGCAAAGAGACACAGAGACGTGAAAGCAGCTGGATTCAGACTCACATGAGATACTTGACCCCACTGGGAATGCTGTCATCCAGGAAGACAGACTGAATAAGTTTCTGGTAAGTGTTGCTCAGAACTCTTCTGGTTCGTGACTCCAATTTTTCATCTGCAATTAAGACAGAGATATTACCTAGGATGCACAATGGCAGGTGTCACATAATAGGTCTCCACAGGAGGAACCTGCTAAACATAACAGAGAAAAGAAAATAAGAAATAAAATGAAAGGCAATCATGCAAGAATAGGAAATTATCTAAGATGAGAGAAAATTGCTCATCAGAGGAGACATCATTGATTCTGAGGCCCTCAAAGAGTGAGTCTCCTCGTCACAGAAGGCATTGTGTGCTTTGCCATGGGGGTTTAGCCCTTCTGGAGTCTGTCTATGATATAAAAAGAAGTCAAAAGAATACAAGGACACAACATAAATACCACAAAAGCATCACGTGAATCATGTTCTCAGTCTTCATTCTCATCAGGAAGAAGTCCTTTTGATAACAATTCTCCAACCTAGACACTCCTCATAATAAGTTGCCATAACAAATATCTATAGACTATGAGTTCTCTCTTTCTGGACCAGGTTCATTGTGAAGATGTTTCCTCCCATTCCTGATTTTAACCTTATCTTCCATTGAACACATTAACACACTTGAGAAAGAATAAAGCCGGCTCAACACACACTTGGAGACAGCTCGACACTCACACTCCTTCAGGGCACTTTGCTCCATGGACGGAAACGCTCGGAAGCGTTGGTCGCGATCTGATCTCCTTCTCTTTTTCAACGGTTCTTTAAAATCATCATCATCAACTACAAGTAAACAAAAACGATAAAATGTTAAAAGTCTTGGGTTATGGTGTGTTTGCCTCAAACTCTACCAACACATGGGCCTAAACAGTGCAAGAGTTTTCCTCTTAGTTCTGTGTGACCATAAACTCAACCCAGAACTGGGCACAGTCGGGTCAATCCGGTTTGGTTTCTGCTTTCCGGAGTCACAGGACTTTTTGTATGTAGTTCCCAAGTGCAGAGTCCAACATATCTCCCCAGATGAAAGGCTTCTGTTTGGACAGCCTGAGAAGCCAAAGTGGCTAGACATTCTTTGCCAAATGCCAAGTTTTAGGAAATCAAACAACTGTGTGGAGTGAAGCCCAAGGCAGTACTAAGTGTGGAGGGGAGACAGAGGCACATTTCACCTCAGAAGAGGCCGCTGGGAGGTCTGTTCAAATGAGGAAAGAAAGTGACCAGAAGGAGGCAGCACAGAAAAGGACGGACCATGTGGCTGGGGCAAATCACTGCATCTCTTTGAGCCTTAAATTTTATCTATAAAATTAGACAAAATATAAATAATGCAAGACTATTAGAGGCTGCTTTAGCACATGGTTCCACTCCAGATAAGAAATCTCGATCATTTACTCTCGCTCACTGAATGTCATCAGCAGCATAAATAAACATTAGGAAGAACCTTGAGGTCATTCATTTACATTTCCCCCCCATGGTTCTGGAGGTGAAGAACTTGGAAAACCAATCATTCTAAGGAAAGGCACAACCAAAACACCAGTGTTGTGGTGGGTTGGTTGGTTGTGTTTGTCCTATGGTTAGACACAAACAGTAGTTGAGTCTTCATGGTGAAGGTTACTGCAGGTTGTGTAAACAAGTGCTCTTGGGGCTGACATGTGTCTGAGGTGAACTGAAGAGTGGATGCCCAGAGTTACGCACACTAAGTTCATTCAAGGCCATGAGGTGATCTTTTCTAAAGAATCACACAGAAGTCGTCTCACTTGGGCACCTAAGCAGGAGGTCCAGCCTGCAACCCTGGCCTCCACAGGCGGGCCTCCCACACAGCTCGGGCAGCCTGCCTTCTGTGTTCAGCTTTGTGTCTTTCAGCACAACTTCTGCTGTGTGCTGGAGCCAGCTCACAGCCCATGGGGGATTCCAGGGCTGGTCCACACTCTGCCAAAGCCTGAGTCTTTGCCATCTCATGCTCACACAGTGACAGCGAGTTCAAAGAGCTTGTGCTTTAGACCTTTCCATCTCAGGCATCCTAATGGATTGAACTCAACTCTAAGAATTCATGCTGGCTCTGTCAAAAGACTGCATTTTAATGAAGTACCAAGTGGTTGTGGGCTCAGTGGCTGGAGCTGGAGGGAAAGAGGCAGAGAAGAAAAGATCATGCTGCTGAGGTAACTCGGTCAGTCACAGGCTGAAGAGCGCTCTTGGGGCTGAAAGGCATTTCAAAATTGTAGAATCTTTTCATGACCTCGTTGTAGGACCCTGAACTCTATTTTGTAACTCAGGAAGTTTTGTACCAGGAATTTTTGTGTGGTATCTTAGATTATAGCCAAATCCCTACATGCCGTGGCTATGAGTTTCAACTTTTAAAGACCTAGTAATTAATGTGGTAAGATATTAGAAGTTTACTTTTCGACTGTAACAAAGGCTACGAGACAGACAATGATATTTAAAATATTTAAAGTTGTCTTCATGTTTTGAAAAGAAATAAGTCACCTGGTAAAGAAAATACTCTGCCTTAATAACACCATTTGAATATATTTTTATACTGAGGGCTATATGATGAAGAAAGAAGGTGTGGGGGCCTAGTGGTTCAAATTCACCAAATGATCCTGGGCGGGGGGTTGAGGTGGAAGTAGGCAATATTCTCCTGTGCAATTTACTGCCTCTGAAAACCCACTGCTATGGGTTGGTTCAACACACAGGATCAACAAACAATATGAAGAGGAATATGGATCTTCAGGATACAGGAAGACTCATTAACAAACTGTTATGCAGATGGTACGACCTTGCTGAAAGGGAAGAGGACTTGAAAGATTTACTACTAAAGATCAAAGACTATAATCCGCACATCATGGGAATCAGAGAAAAGATTGAACTTGTCAGTGATTTCATTTTACTTGGCTCCACAATCAATGACCTTGGAAGCAGTAGTCAGGACATCGAAAGGTATGTTGCATTGATTGGACAGATCTGTGGCGAACTCCTTCCTTAAAGTGCTAAAGAGTCAGAGCGTCACTTTGAGGACACCGGTACAAGTGATCCAAGTAATGGCATTTTTAATAACCTCATATGCTGGAGAAGAGTATTGAATGTACCCTGGACTGTCAAGAAAACAGATTCATCTTGGAGAGGGTTAAACCAGGCTGCTCCTTGGAGGCAAAGATTCTGACGTTTCATCTGACATACTTTGGACATGTTATAAGGAGGGACCGGTCCTGGGAGAGGGACATCATGCTTGGGAGGGTGGAGGGACGGCACAGGAGGGGAAGACCCTCTATGAGGTGGATTGGTTCAATGACTGGGGTAATCTGGATGGGTGTGTCAGAGGCAGTGAGATTGGCACAGGATAGAGCAGAGTTTAGGGCTGTTGTATATAGGGTAGCTATGAGTCGCAAGCGACTCGACGGCACATAACAACAACATATACAAAGAAGCCAAAACAAAGAGAAGAAATGCTGAAGTAAAGGAAACCAACAGAATATTTCAAAGGACAGTTTGAGAAGACAGAGCAAAATGTCTAAATAAAATGTATAAAAAGCTCGAGTTAGAAAACCAAAAGGGAACACAATATTTCTCAAGCTGCAAGAACCGAAGAATAAACTCAAGCCTCAGGTTCCAATACTGAAGGATTCTGTGGGCAAAATACTGAATGATACAGGAAGCATCAAAAGAAGATGGAAAGAATACACAGAATCATTGGACCAAAATGAATTGGTTGACATTGAACCATTTCAGGAAGTAACATAAGATCAAGAACTAGTGGTAATGAAGGAAGATGTTTGAGCTGCAATATAGCCCTTGGCAAAAAATAAGACTCCATGAATTTAGGGAATACTAATTGACATATTTCAACAAAGAGACACAGCCCTGGATGTGCTCACTAAGCTATATAAAAAAATTTGGAAAACAACTATTTGGTCAATTGACTAGAATAGATCTAAATTTGCTTCCAAGAACAGAATGTGGCATTTGTCAAACAATATCATTAATATCACAGTCAAGTAAAATCTTTTTGGAGATTATTTTTCAAATGGTTGGAATGACAGGGAACTGCAAGAAATTCAAGCTGGATTCAGAAGAGACAACGGAATAAGAAAGATAATGTTGACATTAGATAGATTTTGACTGAAAGTGAAGAATATTAGAAAGATGTTTACTTTTGCTTTATTGACTGTTCAAAGGCATTTGACTGTGTGGATCATAATATTGAAAAGAATGAGAATCACTTAAAAAAGAATGCGAGCACTTAATTGTTCTCATGAGAAACTTACATATAGAGTAAGAAGCAGTTGTCAGAACAGATCAAGGGAACAGTGCATGGTTTAAATCAAGAAGGGTGTGCATCAGGATTATACCCTTTCTCCATACTTCTTCAGTCTGTATGTTTAGCAAAACATTCAAGAATGTGGGGCTATATGAAGAAGAATGAGTCATCAGTATTAGAAAAAGACTCTCACATATTTGTATTATGCAACCTGCTTGCTGAAAGTGAAGAGACTTTGAAAAACTTGCTGCAGAAGATTAAAGACTACAGCCTGCAATATGGATTACATTTCAACATCAAGAAAACAAAAATCCTCAACACTGAACCATCATGATAAATGAAGAAATGAATGAAATTGTCAACAATTGCATTATACTTGGATTCACAATCAGCACCCAGCATAGCGTTGGATTGGGGAAATCCACTGTCAAGGACCACTCCGAGGTGCGAAAGAGCAACTATGTCAGTTCAAAGCCCAAGATGCACTTGATCCAAGCCCTAATGTTTTCAGTTGCTTCCTATGTATCTGAAAGTTGGACAATCACTAAGGATGACAGAAGAAGAATTGATGCCTTTGAATTGTGGTTGTGGATAATACTGAACATCCTAAGTATTGCCAAAAGAACAAACAAGTCTATCTTGGAGGAACTGCAACCAAGGCGCTTATTAAAGTCAAGGATTGTGAAACTTTGCCTCATATACTTTGGGCATGTTGTTAAGAGAGGCCAATCTTTGGAAAAAGAAATGATGCTGGGAAAGGTAGAAGGTCAGAAGAAGAGGGGAAGATGCTCAATGAGATATATTGACCCAGTGACCATGGAATTAATTTGAGCATGGCAAGGATGGTGCACGCTTAACAATGAATAAGAAAGACAACTAACTAACTAAGCCTTGGAATTAGTGTCAGAAGAATATTAAATATACTATGTAAGGGTAGCATATTTAATATACTAAAAGACAGAGATAGAGATAGAGATAGATAGAGATAGATATATTTTATTAAGTGCTATCAAGTCATAGATGACTCATAGCAACCCTATGAATGAAAGGCCTGAACACTTGCATAACTTTCATCATTTCTCCACATTCATAGAGTTTCCGGAGGCAAGCCATTTCAGAAGTGGATGCCACTCCTGCTTCCAAGCTTGTTTTAATCGGGGAGCTCCACCAAACACTCTCCAGCATGGGTAACCATTATCTCATTTGACACATCAGTGTCACAGTGTTTAGCATGACAGCAACCACGAGTTACCTCTGTACAGCGATGCACAGATCAGTTCTATGCCAATTAGAAGACTGTTTAACCAAAATCAATTAAAACCAGGCCTGAGGGCCACAGATTAAAATCATCCACCTTTGGCTTGGTAGCATCACTTTTTGTCCACCAGTCCCACAGAGCTCTCTCTATGTTGTTATTGTTTTTGTTAAGTGTTGTCAAGTCGTAGATGACTCACAACATATTAGTTATATTATATATAATATATATTGTTGTTGTTAATTGCCATTGAGTCAAGTACACCTCATAGTGACCCTATGAACAAAAGGACCGAAGCCTTTCTATAACCGTCGTAGTTTCTCCAAGTTCATAGAGTTTCCAGAAACATGTTGTTTAGGAAGTGGATGCCACTCATGCTTTCAAATATATTATATATTTGATATAATAAAACTAATATATCTTATATAATATATACTATTATACTATTTAGTATATTTAATAAATGTTCTTACATAGTGTCTTACTGACACCATAATTCAAAGGCAGTAATTCTTTTTTTTGTTTGTTTGTTTTTGGTGTTCCTTACTCATTGTTAAGCATACATCATCCTCAGAATAGGGAGCCCTGGTGGCCTAGTAGCAAGAAGTTGCCTTGCAATCCTGAAGGCATTCGATTCAAATCCACCTTCTGCTCCTCAGGAGAAGGATAGGTAATCTCCTCCTCTGTGATTAACTGCCTCTGAAAACCTGCTGGAAGGTCAGCTATGGGTTGGTTTGAACTCTACAGTAAACAACATGTATAATAAACGAACTTGTCTTGGGAGAAGTACAGCCAAAATTTTCCTTAGATGTCAGGCGGGTAAGACTTCATCTCACATGCTTTGGGTGTATTATCAGGAAAAGACTAAACTCTGGAGAAGGACATCACACTTGATGAAACAGAAAGTTGGCAGAAAAAAAGAAGATCCTCAGAGAGGTGGACGGACAGTGGCTACAACAATGAGTTCAAACACAGGAATAAGTTTTGAGGATAGTACATGGGTCAGAATTAACTCTGTGAAACCAAAAAATCAACATCTTTATATTAAATTTTAATTAGAATAATCAGCACTCTTGGCACCAGCAGTTAAGGAATCAAAAGATGACTTGAACTTGGAAAATCTGCTGTCAGGGACCTCTCTAGAGTACTAAAAAGCAATAATGTCAGTCTAGAGACTAAGGTGCGCCTGATCCAGGCCATGGTCTTCGCAATTACTTGCTATGCATCAGTGAACTGGATAATGACTAAGGATGACAGAAGAATCGATGCCTTTGAGTTGTGGTGCTGAAGAACCTGTCATGGTCTGCCAAGAAAGAAAACAAATAGGTCTTTCTTAGAGAGGATCTCTCCACGTCTTTCCTTGGAGGCGTGCTTTGGGCACGTGGCCAGGAGGGATACTAGCCCTTAGAAAAGGATATCATGCTCAGAAAGGTGGAGGGATAGCACAAGAAAGAAGACCCTGCATCAGTTGAAATGATACAGTAACTAGAGTAATGGGGTTAGTTTAGGGGTGACTGAGTCAGTGAGACTGGCTCAGGACAGGGCAGGCTTCAGAGCTGTTGTATATAGAGTCTCTCTGATTCGCAGGCGACTACAACAGAATGGGCCCGGACCATATATGTCTCATTATTTCATTTAATTAATAGCTCAAGCACTTCCTTGCCATTTCTAGCATTTTACTTGAACAATCCTTGCAAACAGCCGAAGCTGACCTTAGTCCTCGCATGCTGTTGCCCCTTATTGCCACCAGGGGTCACACGTGAATACTCATCCCAATTTTCTCAGTTCTTCGTGAAGCGTGCCTCTATGCCAGAGACCGGCAAATCTTTCAAGGCTACTCTCAACGATGCATGGAAATCTCTGTTCCTTCAGTTCACATGCTCTGTTATGTCTCAGAGTCACTTCCTAGAAACATTGCTTCTCTTATCCCAAAGAAATCAGAAAAATATTCGTCTTCAATTCTCAAGGCAGAGAGGATGTTCTCTGTTTGGGGCATTGAACGGCTGCTCCCCTCCATGGCTCCAGGCTCCTTCCTTACACCCTCTTTCTGAGAGAGTTTGGGAGCGAGTGTCACTGACTCCCCTGTGATTTAGGAATATACTCATATATTCATCTTCAGAGCGACAGTCCCATTATATCTACCGCTCCGAAAGTCACCTGAGTCCATTCCAGGGGCCTAACCTTTCCCACTCTAAGAGAGGACACCCTTACAGAGTCCAAGATGATTTTTTGAAACATTTTTAAAAATCCACTAATTGTTAATGGGATAGCATACTAGATTATAAATAAGTGAAACTAGTTAATGTTAAAATAATTCATATTCCTTTTCTACTGAAACTTGTCATGAAAGAGTGGTTCCCAGATAAAAAGCAAGGAACAATGACAATAGAAAGTCTTTGCTCATTTGCCCTTAATAATCTTTTTTTTTTAAAATTGGTTCCTATTTTCTCCACCAAGGGACACTGCAGGGACGTTACCTGGCAGTGGCTCCTGAAACACAAAGACATCCATTTCTGCCATTCCTTGTTTGGTGAACTCTTGATTTTGTCCACTTAGGAGAAGCAGTCTGAAAGTACACAAAACACAAGGGGAGGGGGAGAAGCAACAACAGTTATAAGAAAACCAAAAGCATCTGAGAAACTGAGAACTGAGGCGCAAACTGAGACTTGTGCACCAATGTTCATAGCAGCATTAATCACCATGCCAAGAACCTGGAAACAGCCCAAATGTCCAACCACAAACGAATGGATTGAGAAATTATAGTACAGTCAGACAATGGAATACTATGCAGCACGCAGGAGCTTTGTAAATTATTACCTAACTTGGGAGGGACTAGAGAGCATTATGCTGACTAAACTAACTCATTCCCACAAGGATAAATATTGTATAAAATCGTTATTGTAGAATGAGTATAAGGATCCAGGAGGGGTAGGAGAGGCAGAGGGATGTGGATGGACAGGGTAAGGAAGGATTAATCATTGAGGTGTTCAATTTGATGGGGGGGGTGAGGGAAATTGAAAGAATTTGTTCAGATTTGTATTAAAATTTTGTAAATAAACTAGTGTGGGGGAAACCCCAAAGCAAAGAGAATACACAAGTATTTTATGTGTCCTTTCCCAAACTAGACCTACTTCACTCCTAAACGTCAATAACCATTCTAATTTCTTTGAATTTAAAAATGTTAAGGCCAATGTTCAACCATTGGTTTCCAGTAATAACCTGTACCTACTGCAGTTTAAACTGATATTGCCTGAGTAACTGAATCCTGAAAGGGGGAGAAGCCTCATGTGATCTGAATCATAAAGATAATTGCAAAGCTTTGCTTATTTGAGTGACATCAAGATCTCAGTCAGGAAAGTCATCATGTCCTGTGGCAGCAAATACTTCATCCAAGCAAGAAGCTGCTGTTACCATTGGATCACATATGATTCAATGAGTCTTAGAGACCCTATACACACAACAGATCTGAACACTGTCCTACCCTGCGACATCTTCATCTCTGATATACCTCATTCAAAGGCTGCAGTCACTGTCAATTCATCTTGTGAGGGTCTTCCTTTCCTTTGTTGACCCTCAGCCTTTCCAAGCATGTTGTCCCTTTGCAAGAAATAGCCCCTCCTGAAAACATGTCCAAAGTATGTGAGATGAAGCTTCACCATCCTTGCCTCCAAGAAGCATTCTGGCTGTACTTTATTCAAGACGTGTTTGCTCTTTTGGTAGTTCATGGGATATTCAGCACTCTTCTCCAACATCAGTAAAACACTAGGTATCCCTAGAGTTCCTTGGAGTTGCTTTAGAGTGAACTAAGGAGAGAAGAGAGAGCTCTGGTGGCCTAGTGGTAAGAAGCTGCGTTGCCAACCCAAAGGCAGGTGAATCAAATCCACTAGCTGCTCCATGGAAGAATAATGGGCAATCTCCCTGGCAATTTAATGCCTCTGAAGATTCACTGCAGGTGCTGCTGTGGGTCAGTTCTGACCCAATGGTACTTAACCACAACAGCAAAGGAGAGAAGGCAGGAGGAGGCCAGTGATTGGATTTTCTGGTTATTCCTTACCACCACCACCCCTAGCCGACTTCCACCAGCATCATGGAGCTCCAGCAAGGAAAAGGGAGTGGGAGAAACATATTCAAAGATGCATCAGCTCCTGCCTGTCCCCTTCAGTCCTTTGACAAATAGGGTTTGGGTTTTGAGGGAGAACTAGAACTTTTGTGGATCAGGACAAATCAGATCACAGATCACGTGAGACCACAGATCTGTACAGATCAGGTATGCGATCCTGAACTTTCTCTGTCTCCAGTAACAGAGAAAGAATTTGGGGAGCATAAGCAGGGAGCATCGCAAGTGCTTTCTGATGTTCCTGTTGGGTCACTCAGCTGTGTATTTCAAATGCAAACTTACCAGCCCTTCTGAAATATGCAAAATCTCACCTGATCTGCCAACTCCCACTGGACCCAGAAACCGTTAGTAAGGGAGGCTATGCCCTATTTACATGTCAACCTCAATCAAAACAGTGACTCATCAGCCGAAATAGCCTCTCACTCTCTGCGTACTTTGTATTAACTGAGTAAGAGGCTCTTGCAATTGGAGGCTGTAGGTTGAATATTGATCCAACCTCTATTATGCCAAAGGTCCTTAGCTTTAGACAGTGTTTTAACCCATTCTCAGGCCATCCCACACTACTTAGAGTTCTCCAAGGCAGGACATCTATTGAACTACTACTTCTTTTTGACAAACACTTATTCTTTTTTCATGATCCTCTTTGAGCATTTCCTCTGTGAAACCATGACTTCCCAAGGCAACCTTGATCATTTCCCCGTTTACATCACGGCTGCAATGTGTTCCCCTCTGCTGTGATACTTGCCGTGTTTTTCATATACCCTCTGCTTTACTGAACCTTCAACTCATTTCAGTCAGGGTACTTATTTAAGCAACAAGTGCAATGATTAACAGATATTTAATGAATAAATGAAATAATGATTGGGAAGTATTTTATGTTATTCCACACTAAAGAATATTTTAAAAACAAATTTGATGTGACATGACTTGAGTCCTGGCTTAAAGAGAAAAGTAGAGTAGGAAGGAACAGCCAAGTATGCATACGGAGCAGCATTAATAGTGCAGATTGCTTCATACCACTGGGGATGCTTAACACAAGGAAGAGAAGACAAATACTGGGACAGTAGATGTGAGGAGGATCTCATAGCGGTCTTGAAATACCCAAACTTGAATTTATAATGTGAACTAGGTAATATAAAAAGATGCATGTCCTCTATGATCTCACAAGGAGTTCCATTAGGAATTCCCATCAGGAAGGTGGTACAAAACCGTTCCATTTCTCTTCACATTCTCTAATAAGTGTTGTTGGTGGTGTTAAGTGCCATCGAGTCGCTTGTGACTCATAGCGACCCGACCCAATGTACAACAGTCCTCAAACCTGCCCTGTCCTGAGCCAGCCTCACTGATTCTGACATGCCTTCCCCCATTGCCCTAGTCACTATATCAGCCCATCTCATCTGGGTCTTCCTCTCCTGCACTGTCCCTCCACACTTCTGAGCAGGATGTCCTTCTCTAAGGATTCTAATAACTAAGTTGTACAAAATGGGTTGAGCGCCCTTAAACAGTAATGAATGTTCCACCACTAGAATTGCTTGAACTGACATGACCACTATCATAATAACACTGAACTCAAACTCATTGTCAAGTAGTAACCAACTCATAGTTGACTCATTAGTGGGTTTTTAGAGACTGTAAAGTGCATGGGAGATTGCCTATCTTTTTCTCAAAGAGCACCTGGTGGATTTGAACCACCCTTGGATGGGTAGTGCAATTCCCTACTGACTAGGCCACCAGACCTCCCTTGTGGTGTTGTTGTTGTCATGTGCCATCAAGTCACTTGCGACTCATAGCGACCCTATGTACAACAGCCCTAAACTCTGCTC